ATAAATGCATTTGATTGTTTTTGTTTTTATCTTTTCACCTGACAATGATTTTTTTTATTATTATTTTTATAAGCTGATTTAAAGGTGTCCTGGTGCTGCATTTAAGGTCTCCGTGATCATTGTTTTTTTCTGATATAGTTACAAAAAATTGTGTATCCATTTCCCTGCGTGTTGCAGGCCAGCCTATCAGAAACAGAGCGAGTTGTAATTGTGTCCACAAACCGCTGGGCGAGACTCTTTCTGCTGTCTGCAACCAGGAGGGGAAACGCTGGTAGATTCAGGAGAAGGGCCGCCATTATTGGGAATGTGAGGGGGGAAAAAAAAAAAAAACTGGACTTGAACACAACGTCACACATTTATCCTGCGCGAGGCTTAACATGAGAAAAGACAGCCGCTCTACTCTGAAAACAACGCTTTAGTAAACCGGAACCGTGTTTCTTTTTACGGACTCTTTTTTTTTTTCAGACACAACAAAGGAAGTAATAATCGGTCAAAACAACGTGGTGCTAGTGGACCAAGAAGGAGAGAGAGAGAGAGAAAAAAAAAAATCAACGAAACAGGGCTTTCCAACGCCTCCTCCTCCTTTTCTCCCTCCAGTCCAGTCGCTGTGAGAGAACGAGAGTTTGAGCATTTTTTCCCCCTCGTCTCTCTCTCTCTCTCTCTTTCCCCTTTTACTTTCCTTTTTTTTTCCCGAGCAGATTTTGTTTTCCAGCTTGTGAAGGATAGAATGTTTCTCGTGACTGAAAAACTTCACTGACTGAAATGAGAGGCTGAATGCGGGACGCAGACGGCGTGTTTACTAGAAAAGCAGGCAATTTTTTTTTTTATATAATCGATGTGAGAGCTTGAGTGGGGAGTGTTTTTTTTTTATTTATTTTATTTAATTTTTTGTGGTGGGGGTTCGGCTTTAAGAAGAAAATCTTATCCGGTCGCAGCAGAGCTGGAGAATCAGGAATGATATGGTATGTATGTAAACTATGGATACTCTTCATGTTCTACATTTTAAAGCAGATTTCCACAGATTAACCTTTAATCTTCAGGACTTTCTTCTTCTGCAGTTTAAATGGCTGTAAAGTCCAGTAAATAACAAGTCTACCTCATTCCTCCCCCTCTCTAGCTTTTACATGTTTGGAAGCCCTTAGTAATAATGGTTATTCTAATAATTATATGGATACATTTAATACTAATAATAAGGATAAAGCCTCCCTAAGACGCTGTAGTCTGACCCTACAGGTTAAACATGATGTTTTCCAGAGGAGAAAGAGGGGCATCAAACGTGTCCTGCTCAAGCCTTAAAAACTGTTTATGCAACAACACCTGGAATGCATTGGTGTTGTCAGGCCTGGAGAAACTCCACACCATACATGCCTTTAATTACATTTAAATGAGCAATACAGCTTTACTCAATCGATAGCTTTTATCTGCTGTAGTTCTTTTGTAAATCTTGGCATGAAAGTAGGACAGTTTGATGGTTTGTTTTTGTCAAAAAACATGAATGGGATTTATGTTTTTAAATAAAATTTCAAAGGTTTGAATACAGAACTTCCTGGTGGCACATTTAACTAAAATATGCAAACATTCTCATTTAACTTGACCACACCTGACACATAATTTGCTCAAGTCCTCCCTGTTCTGTTCATACAAGACGGTTATCTGGGCGTATAGATACCAGAACGAGCTCATGTTAAAACAATTAATAGCTGCCATTACTCAGACTATTCTTGGGGAGAGAAGAGTGTCAGAGTTTCATTTCACTGCAGAGTGATCATTGCTCTGGCAGCCACTCCCTGTCTCTATCCAAGTCCTTCCTCTGGGCTAACACTGCTTCCTTTAAAAATAAAACAGCCTTTTCTACATGTTGCTGAAATCCTTGTTTTAATGTCGACTGTGGGAGATTTCAGAGCGACAGAGGAACTGGGTGACAGTGAAGGTTTGTGTGGATTTGGCCTCAGCACACAGCTGCTCAGCAAGGACTTTGATCTGGAGCTACTGCTGTGTCATGGCCAGGAAAAAAAAGGGACATTAAAAAAATAGCTAAAGCAGGAACTTTGTCATTTGATAGTTTCGTCCCAACTTTGGTGTTACAGATCAGTGACTCATTACCCCGTCACATTTGCTGTCTTGTGTTTCGACTGACTGCTCAGATTTGAATAAATCTTCACGCCGAGCTGAAATTAAAAGGTGCACACTTCACTTTTTCTTTTCTCTCCTGACAGAGGCGGTCTTTTAGCTCAGGTAAATGCGTTAGCAGCTGTCGGCACTTCTCCTTTCTGCTTGATTGGGCCCTTTGCGATGCGGTCACACCTTTCCAGGAAGCCTGGTCTTCCTTTAATCGTACCATTTGTTCAGGCAGCAGGCCGGTTACCAGCAAAC